TTAGAATTGTGTTCAATTGACATAGTATAATTACTAACAAATTATGTACATGCTAAACATCATTAAAGTTTCAAACGAACATTTATCAAATAATGTGAAAGTTTCGAATCGTCACTTTTCCTTCCTTCTAATCAGTAAAATATTATAATCTAGATGAATTCTTATCCATCATATACAGTATATCAATTAAATATATATTTTTATAATTTATGCTATTTTTTCAAATACTCTATCAATTATAGAATAAATGATATAAAAACAAAAATTAAATTGGTTTTGAATACTTCATGTTTTCAAGACAATATATTTATTGAGATAACAGAAATTGTGTTTATTCTTTATCAAAAAGATCTTAAATTGTAGTATAACCTATAGCGTATAGTTCCAGATGTACATTGCTTTCTTGGTTATCTGTGATAATATGAAGTTCGGGCTTCGATGAGCAATAGAAAAATTCGAATGTGTCGCAATCAAATGAAAAAGCACTTTGATAGTAGCGATAACCACGTTTGAATTTTGTATCTCTAATACCGTATTCAGGACATTCCGTCCATATCCATACATTGAATGCAGCTTCACCAGGATTCATTCCACTTCGAATAAAGATAGTCACACTAATCTTTCTTGCTGTAGATGAAAATATGATGTTAAGTGGAAACGTGACTTGTGCAAGTGAATATGGAACAACTGTAGAAGTCGTCAAACTGACGTAACATCTAATATTATCAATGATTATAAATAGATATTCATTATTAGAATAATCACTTACGTGTACCATTGTTAGCATTACTATGAGCGATGAGGAGAGTAAAAAAGTTACAATCTTCATCTTTTCATAAAATCAAAATGAATGTGTGCTCGCTTTAAATGCAGCTTTAGTAGTATTTATTTCCATTGCATAAATATCCTCTTCAAATGAAGAGAAGATATGAGTCATATATATACCAATGAAAGTGCAATCAACAAATGATTGATCACAATTTATTGAAACGGTACCAAAATCATTATATCTAATTTTTTCATAAGATTTTCTAATAAAAAGAACCAAAAGCAGTTTTCAAATCAAAAAATTTACTAAGACTTCATAAACTTCATTTTATAAATCGATTTTCATTTCTATCTTATTCTACAGAAGAAGGGGAGATTGAAAGTTACTGAATTAGTAATGAAATCTCTTATCCACCGTAAATCTAATGACAAGATTTGAATAATAATCAAGTCAACACACACTTGAATCCTATTTTGATAACTGATACATGAAGTCAACCTTCTTTATAAAATATGCAGAAGTCCTTCGGTAAATGAGTTGAAAACATATGTTAGAGGAGAATAAAAAGTGCTTTTATGACTGAAGCAGTATTAACACTCATTCTGTACTAATTTTATTAGCAATATTAAAATTAGTCTGCTTAAATCTCATAATTTCCTCCTGATCTTCTCTAACAAAACACACTGCATGTCAGAATAATTTTTTTTGAATAAATTTTTCAAAGACAATATTTCATGTATATCACTTATTTTATCCAATAACAGAGTGGCTAAATGATTCGATTTTACATATTGATTGATCTTTTGTCCATTTGGAGAAAGAGAGTTAGAGTTTCAGCTGTCAGCGAAAGTAGGATGTGGTTGAACAGACGACAACCCTCAAACTGACATCTATCCTCCTAGATTTCGATGAATTGACTTTGAATTAAGATTCGAAAAAGGATTTCATACAGGGGTAATTCGTCATAGTGTATAAAATGATAATGTGTGTTTCAGGTTGCTATTGAAACTTTGTCAACACTTAGATTTCCATGCTACTGTATAGAGTAAATTTTTGAAATTTGAAAAAATACTGGAATCACAATCTGATATTACTTTGAAACTAGAAATACCCAAACCCACCCTCAAGATGCATCGAATTTTATGCTTCAGATTTTTTCGGTCTGATTCTTTTTGCAAGATTTTCCAATCAACTTTGAAAATAGATCTAGATCATGAGGTGTACATAGCGAACTTTTATTCTCAGATGTACATTTAAACTGTCAATGGGAGATGTTATTTTAGTAACTTCTGTATAAAGACGTGGGTTTCTTGCTTGTTTTTGTAATAAAAATCCAACTGTTGACCTTGGAAAAGTTGATTAAACAAACTTCAGACAGCGTATTTAAGAGTTCAGTAGTAATCAAATAGCACAGAAAAATTAAGCGTCGATTTCTCTATCACTACATCGAAAAAAAAGAAACTTTCTTCAAGCTTTCTGTTTGTAAACAAGATAATGATGACACTGTGTTTGGTATACCCAAAGTAGAACTTTTGATTGTTTATTAATAAATGGATGGAATCTCTAAAAGTCCAGTGTACTCTCTAAAAACCTGAATGGTCCCTTATCACACACTTTTTTAAAGAAAGTAGTCAAAAATTTACGAACTAATAGTATAAATTTACATTGTAATAATGCAAAATCACATATATGCAAAATATTGTTCTCCTTGTCAATTATTTGCAACACATAAAACTTAAGATATGATTTACTTACCATAGATAACTAGCTTTGCTTTTTCAGACCTTTCATCATACAGTTATCTAAAACGTAGCCTAGATACATAATCATATGTTACAAGTTTAAGTAAAACAACACCTAAGAAATACAGCTCAATATCTATTGACAAATGGATTGACAAGATGAAAATTAGTATTGAGTATTGGGGTCTTTTGACTAATAAATGTAACAAGAATAGAAAGGAAAAAAAAATCTATTATCGTCGTGAAAATATCATGCAAGGAAGTGACGCGCGAAAAAATGATTCACGTAATTGTCGTGCATTACAAGAAGTTTCTTTATTTTTCAATTCATTATTTCGAGCAATAATATACATGGAGTTGATTCTTCAATAACAATAACCGATCCTTAATTGAACAAAAAAAAAAAGTCATGATTTGAATTGATATCTGAATATTAAAAAAAATGATAAAATTAAGCAAAAATATTTTAATCATTTAAGGATAATAATACATATTTTGGTATAATACAGAAAATATATTTTACTCTTGAAATAAACAGTATTATTTCTGTAGAAAAATTTTGTTTCGAAGAAAAAAGCATAATGATCAATTCAAAAACAAAACAGATTTAAAATTATTCTAAAATTGTCTTCCAATAGAGGTTTTTCTTTAAATTAAAATATGCAAAATAGGTTTCGACTTATGAACTAATTTAGTATTATTATGTACCATCACAAGAATGCATTTCAACAATTTCTGTAACACATTGTTGCATAATCGATCCATTTTTATTGATACTTTTTATCTTGTTCTGTTCTCTACGCTTTGATTTTTCGTTTATTTTTACTATTCAGTAATACATATTCTATTAGTATGCGTCATATTCTCTATTTTTCTCTTCTTTACTTGGTTTTTTCCTGCTTGTCCTTTCAAGCGTGTTTTTTTTATCTGTTTAGTTGTGATGACTCATAGTTTGTAAATTGCTCTATTCATTTAATAACATATGAAAAATATCTTTATATTTAGATTCATACAAACGATTTATGCACGCAGGTAATGCATTATCTTAGGAAGAGCAATTGCCTGAATGTTTAAAAAACAAGATTTGATAGAAGCATTGAAATGACTATGATAGAAATTTGTACTACTGTTCATACTCTTCTTTCTACCACGAATTATAGGAGACACTATCCAGAGACCATTACATACGTTGTTGATATACAATCACAGATTGTACATCACAACAGCTAGCCATAATACATGAGTCATATCCTTCCTTCAATTTTCCAATGATCAACTCATAGAAAAGTGAAGAAATGCATCTCAAATGTATAAAATTTTTTTTTTTTTTGATAATTCATTTGAAATAAGAATCTCTTGGAAACACAATTGGAATAACTAATAAAATGATAAGTAATGATTATTAAAAAGGACATGGCACTATAAGATGAAGGTTTTAGATCATTCTATTCTTTCCTTTTTTCATTGATTATGTAATGTAGAGATTCATGAGAAATTTTTTGATATGAAAATAAAGCAAATTTTGAATGATTCAAGAATACTTTCCTTCACTATATTGATATTCAAATGTGTGCTATTGAAAAAACTAAAATCATTCATGAAAGAGTGAATCTAGAAAATTTTCTTGGATTGAGATATTCTCAAGTCAAAACTGTGTTAATTCAGTACTCACCGTATAGCATGGGGTTTTTGCTTGACTCTGAAAAATTATAGAAAAGGTTTGAATGCCGAATACCTTTTAGTTTTGTGAAACTCATTATATTTTCGAAGAAAATAGTGAGTTAGGGTTTTAAGTCCAAATTTTTGGGTTCAATGTCCCGATCTCCATTCTCCTTACTTCGTCATATTACAGACCTTAGTAATCGTGATTAAATAATGGATATCTCTAACAGTCATCCATACAATTTGATCTAATGCTTATTCAGGATATTGCCTAATAACGCTTTAATATTTAGGTCACTAATTTCTTTTTAGTTGTCCAGATTATTAAGTACGTTGAGTTCACTAATAAAGCAATGTTTTTTTTTCATTTGCGAAGAGATGCTAGAGTCACCAAAAATATAGCTCTTTCTTTTCTTTTTGTTTTTTCTAGAAGAAAATGTTCTTCTTTTTCTCTCACTCATTCGAAGAAATATATTTAAACGATACCAAACATATGCTTATCACTGTTACATTCCTAGCAGTACAAGTGAAGTTAGAAAGAGTACCTTTCTAAACGAAAAGAAACCTTCCTTGAAGAAAATGAAAGGCATTTCTCATGCCGAAAACCTAAAGTATATCGAGTATAACTCCTACATCAAAACGTAAGATCTGAATAAATCAACTCGGATTTTTCTACGCTTCATTGATTAAA